AAAAAAAAAAAAAAAAAAAAAAAAAAAAAAGAAAACAAAACCAGGATATCATATTCAAACTAAAAAATCAGATATTCTGGTTTGGGGTAAGAAGCCATGTAAGATTGCTATGACTGATTTTGGTAAAATGCTTTAGTCTCACACCAGCCTGTATCCTTCCCTTGTGGCTCTACAACAGATTTTCTAAGACTACTTGATGTCTTACCTAAGCCAATGAATCTACGTCTTTATCCTTCTCAACATTACTGTGAACAGACTTGGGTCCATTCACAGGTTAGTATGTTAAATATAGATAAATAGTTCATTAAACTGGCAGTGTGGTACCCACCCCCTCACCTTCTGCTGGAGCTCCTCGATGGTCTTGAAGTAGGACTGGTAGCTGGGGCACAGCAAGGGCTCCTGCTGCTGGGACCGCTCCCGGATGAGGCGCTCCAGCTCCGCGTTCTCCCGCTCCAGCTGACGCACCTTCTCCAGGTAGCTGGCCAGGCGGTCGTTCAGGAACTGCATGGTCTCCTTCTCGCTGCCATTGAAGGAGCCCTCGCAGAACCAGTTGCAGTTGCTCACGTTGGCGGGGATGTTGCAGGCCCCGGGCAGGGTGCAGCCGTGGCAGCTGGGGGGCACGCAGGGCCGGGAGGAGCAGCTGGTGCGGCAGCTCAGGCTGGGCAGGCAGCAGTTGTAGGGCATGGTGCTGGGAGGGAGTGGAGCTCTGGAAGTCAGTTTCAAAACCTGATTCCTTTTCTCTGGGATAAGCACTGGTCCTCTCAGGGCTTTATATTCTGTCAGCAGTGGGTGTGGCAACCATGTCAAGCATTCCTCCTTTCCACCTCCTTTGCTAATTTTTCCATCTGTTATTTGGCCACTTCACCTGAGTCCTACATCTCATAAAATGTTTTACTCTGGCTTCTTGCTAAGTCAGGACTCCTCACAAAACACGCTGATTGATTAAGTAAGAGCTTCACGGTTCGGCTTCAAAGTGACTGATCTTGCCCACAGCAGTGCTTATCCACGGGATATTAAGCTAGAGTGACAGCTAGGCCCTGTCCCCAGAGTAGAGGCACATCTGTGTCTCTTTCTCCTAAATGAGGAAAGGCTTCTGTCTCATCCAGTTCATATTCAATTAGGTCTCTCTGAGAAAATCCATGGAAGGAAACCCATCTAGAAACTAGACTATGTGATAGGGAATCCTGGAAGCCGAGCTCAGAAAGGAGGTACAAGGCCATTGGTTCAGGGACACTTTGCAGTTCCATCCAGGCAGATGGAGGCAACTCTCCCCTCTTCCTATGGGCCTGCAGGAAGCTACCCACCTCTGTTTCTGCTACTGTTCAGTGTTCACCAGAACTATAAGGACACTAGAATGTTTGGAGTACCTACTCTGCATGAAGCCCTGTGCTCTGTGCCTGTGCACAGTGTGACTCTGTCATTGGTGATGGCTCCTGCTTGCTGAGCCTCCACTGTGCACCAGGCACTGTGCCAGGCACCTCCTAGGCACAAGCTCCTTCAGTCCTCTCAAAATGCTGCAAGGCTTTATAGATAAGAACATTAAGCCTCTGAGAGGTACCCCAAGGTCACAGAGCTCCTACATGGTGGAGCCAGGATTCAAACGCAGATCTAATTCCAGTGTCCACAGTCTCTCCATCATGTTACACGTCTCTCTCTTCCAGTCTTCTCACTACTGAGATGCAATAATACAGCAATACAGATTGATCGCCACTGAGCTCAATCAGTGCTGACAATAACCCAAATTAGAATGGGCCAAGAAATAACAAGCCTGCTCTTTGCTTATTAAAGAAACAAAGTCACTTCTATTCTAATGGAAGGAAGTTTACTAAGTGAAAATGCATTATACCCACTAGAAGCTTGAAAAAAAAAAAAAAGGAACCCTCAGTTGATCTGACGTGGAAATACCTGGACACCTAGCTCTCAGAATATGACCCTGCAAAGCCACCACTTTGTCATGTGCTTGAAGTGGCATTTTATGACCATTGGCACATTTCGGCAAGCAGATGCTCTGCCCTCATCCATTCCAGATGGAGCCATGAATGACAAGGATTTTGTGTGTAGTCTACTAGTGCTCAAATCCTGACAGAGACTCCTCCAAGTTGTTTCTTTTGGAAGCTACATATTAAGTCTTGCCATACAGGTATTCTTTTCCTGTGGGTGACCTGCCATTGCTCAGATCACCCTTCCTTCAAACTTGCCCTCACAGCCTGGGACACATTCTTTTAGTTATCCTCATTGAAGGCCAACCTTCATCTTCTGAGGGTGTGTTTATTTTTGGAACCAGCCAGATGTCATTCGAAACCACACCTAGTGAGTAGGGTAAGTAACCAAGCTGCGTACCATCTTTAATGGGTCAGAAACACATTGTGACTGCAAAATAATTATGTGCATTTTCTTGGGTGACTCTGGAGGTCATTTCCAAGGAGGAGCTTCAAATATACTTTTATAAAGGACAGCAGCTTTGGAGCAAATGTGTGGTCTTCCAGAATGAATGCATTGGAAGTACTGATATCCTCCCCTACATTCACAATCCTCAACTTACAGCACCTCCTGCCAGAATCTCTACCATTTTTTTTTTATTTTTATTTTTTTGAGACAGAGTCTCACTCTATTGCCCAGGCTAGAGTGCAGTGGTGCAATCTCAACACATTGCAACCACCACCTCCCAGGTTCAAATGATTCTCCTCCCTCCGCCTCCCTAGTAGCTGGGATTACAGGCACACACCAGCACGCTTGGCTTATTTTTGTATTTTTAGTAGAGACGGGGTTTGACCATATTGCCTAGGCTGGTCTCAAACTCCTGACCTCAGGTAACCCACCTGCCTCAGCCTCCCAAAGTGCTGGAATTATAGGCGTGAGCCACCATGCCTGGCCTGAATCTCTACCTTTAAAATGATTCCACCATCAGTGAGATTTGGCATGGGCATATTGGTTTAAAATCAGTACCAAACTGATTAAAGTCCTATTGGATGAGATCAAATAACATAAAGCAAATAACTGAATTCATTAACTTTTCTCTATTTACCTTCTGTTCTTCTCTCCTTCTTCTAGGCCCCAAGCTTCAAAAGAGAAAAATCTGACAATGGCACTTTAAAAAAAAAAAAAATAGCGGGGGGGGGGAGGAATAGTGTGTCATAGACTAGTAAATATATCCAAGGGGATCCCTATAACCATTGCTATAGCTTCTACCTCAGTCACAGTGGAATGATTCAGAGATAAGTATACTTGTGTCTTTAAAAATGGAGATCAGAGTTCAGAAAACACTATTCCCACATCTTAAGTAGAAGTAGCTATTTTCTGCACAGCTACTTGGCCATCATATAATAATAGTTGGAAGAACCTGGGTCTATTGAGAAAAGAGCCAAGTTTCAATTAGCTTCTCAGGAAGTCTGGAAGGCAATTGCTTTTTCTTTATTCCGCTTGTTGTGTACTGTGAATTCTTACCTTTACATGGGTGATGGAATTGTCTCTGTTCAATGACCCTTCCATAAACATGATGAGCAAATCAAATCCTAACAAACCTAAAGGTTTTATACATACCCATGTAATTGTGGTGGATGCTGTGGTTGAGGCTTCTGGTCTTAAGATGTGAGCAAATTGCAATTGAGGTGTAAGGATGCTATTTATTATGGAAGCCAAGGTTATTTCCATGGAAGAGATCACATGCAAACTCACCAGTGATGCTTAACCATGGAGTGGACATACGACAGGTCTTCAGCTGATGCCACCTTGTTGTGGAACTATAAAGTCGTTGGGAGGCCTCCCTCCTTCTCCCCAAAATCATCTTCCCCAATGTCCAGGCTCTGGTGCTTGAAATTCTCACCATGAGAAATATAAAATGTATTCTTTTAGAAACACGAAGTAACACTGGGCTACTTGAAAATTAATTATATTTTAATGTGTATGAAATGGCAAGGAGATGCCAGGAGCGGTATCATGGCATGCACACAGATCAAGAAGATGGACTTTTTGCCAAAGAGGGATCCCAGAGGGAAATGAGAAAAGCAGAAACACTGTCCAGTATCGACCCCAGCCCATGGTTCTGAGCCAGCCTGTTAGAGTTTCCTAGAAGAGCAGAAGATAGGGCTTCCACAAACTGTTCCATAAAGGCAACTGTTGCCAATTTATCAATCCTCCAGCCTCAGGGCTTTAAGAGGAGAAATTGAAAGGGTAATTCAGGACCTAAGGCAACAGGCTTGGCTCTGTTCAATAGGGCTTCTGATAAGCGACAAGAAGCAGAGGGGCTGGAGAAGGATCCTGGTCAGCAGCAAGCTAGACTGAGCAAAAACATACAAACACCTCAAAGTGGAACTCAGGAGCTAGTTCTACAAACCCTCTCTGGAGCCACCATTGTCTCTCTTACACTCAGTCCTGGGCTCCCAATGAGAATGGGGTCTTAAAGTCTTCAGGGACCCAGCCAAGTCAGAAAAATGCAAAGTTCATCTATGCTATGTGTTTTTTTAACTTTTAAGTTGAGGGGTACAAGCGCAGTTTTGTTATATAGATAAACTTGTGTCATGGGAGTTTCTTGTACAGATTATTTCATCACCATTAAGCCTAGTCTTCATTAGTTATTTTCCCTGATCCTCTCTCTTCTGCCACGCTGTACCCTCTGAAAGGCCCCAGTGTGTATTGTACCCCTCTATGTGTCCATGTGTTCTCATCATTTAGCTCCCACAAGATGTCATCTCAGTCCTCAAGATCTGGCAAAAACCAAGGCTGAACCTCACATCAAGGACTTTGGAGAGCCCCCAGTCAACTCTGTGGTTTCTATCAGTGGTCCTCAAATTCTTCTGTATCCAGCCAACTGCCATTGGACAGTTTAACAATTTCTATAGCTCTAATTATCATCTTTGTTTACCTAGCTGTCTGACATCTCTCTCTCAAATCTAGTCATTCTTTTCCAGGTCTTTCCAATGGAGACTCATTGTTGTTTCATTTTCTCAGGCTGAAAATCTTCAGACACATAGTAGGTATTTGTGACTGTTAATTTAATGTATCAACTTCACTGGGCCAAGGGATGCCCAGATAGCTGGTAAAACATGATTTCTGGGTATGTCTGTGAAGGTGTCTTTAAAAGAGACCAGTATTTGATTCAGGAGAGTGAGTAAAGATCACCCTCCCCAATGTGGGCAGGTGTCCTCCAACATGGGTAGTCCAATAGAACCTAAGGATAGAAGAAAGGCAAATTATTTCTCTCTTATTGACCTGTAAGGGACAAGCAGGAGATGGTCTGGAGAATAAGCCAGGTCAGTAGTAAGCTATGCTGAGCAAAGACAAATACAGACACCTCAAAATGGAACCCAGGGGCTAGTTCCACAGACCTTCCCAGAGCTGTCACTGTTTCTCCACACTCGGTCCTGCACTCCCAATGAGAATGGAGTTGAGCTCCATCGTCTCCTGCCCTCTAACATCAATGCTCCCAGCTCTTGAGCCTTCATCTCAAACCAGGACTTACACCAGCAGCCTTCCTGATTCTCCAACCTTTTGGTTTGGATTGGAACTACATCCCTAGCTTTGCTGGGCCTCCACCTTGAAGACAGCAGATTATTGGACTTTTTAATCTCCACAACATCTGAGCTATTTTCTCATAATAAATCTCTTTCTATGTATCTCTATATAGCCTATTGTTTCTGTCTTTTGGGACAACCCTGACTAATCAGTGTGTGATCAGTATTAGTTTCCTTTCTTCTCTCTCCATTGTTCCTCTGCCACTACTCAACTTCCGTA